TATCACAAACATTACCCGACGAAATTTGAATAACTTCGTCAACTAAGTGAGTAGGGATTGAAACTGACTTCAAGATATTTGACACCAAACCTTTTTTCACCAATCGAGAGCTTGACTGTCGACCTTCTGTTACCTAAGTTAGTTTACATATATGAATGATGGGAAGTTATTTTATGATGTCTCTGGATGCATCGGTTATTGGCCGGAATCATTCATGCACTTGTTAGAATGTATATATCCCAAAATATTAACCTGTTACTAGGGTATTGGACAATTTATATTGTTGGAGCATGTATTGAGTTATATAGTTAATATAATGAGATTGGTATATAGTTTCACTAATTCGATGACTAGTTATAAAATTATCAGATATTGGGCGTAACTTTTAGGTGGGTTTTATGCGGTGCGGTTTAATGCTGACGTTTTGTGCAGTTTTAGGCGGTTTGATAGACATTCTACTTTTTAATATTGCACATTTTCAGTACCGGATTGACCTAACTTAATTACTGTTTGACCTAACTTAATTACTAATATCTTAATATTTTCAATATAAACCCATGCTAAAAATAATAATATTTCTAACCAGTGAAAACCAGCATGTTAACATCAATACATTTGTTCTTTAAATAGATTATATTTACATTTATATTAATAATATTTTATGGAAGATCTATGTGTCCCTTAGTTTTATGTTAGGAGCTGCTTGTGAAGTCTAACTCAGGCATTGTTTTAACCAAAAATATTCCAGAGTTTCACCTACATTAAGAGAATAAAATTAAAATTATATGCACCATTTAACCCCTCGACATTGTCTATAAAAGAGAGCAAACAAGATTAACCAGATCAAACAAAAACACAATTCATGGTAAACAAAGAGATAATGACTTTAATCGTTAAGGTTTTGCAAATTGATTCCAAGCTTCATGTTCACCAAGAACAAGAGAAGGATATGAACCAGTCTTTGTAACCAACGAATTAAGAGGATCCAATATTTGTAACCTTCGAGCTATAAGAGTCACCAAGACAAAACTCGAAGGTTCCAATGGTTGTGATTCGTGAAGGAAGAGAAGGTGGGACCACTGTCTTGTTGAAGACGCCTCTGGATCTCTGAGGGGATGGTGTTGTAGTGACATCGTCAATGGAAATTAGACGTGCTATGTTAGCTAACTTCACTTCATCTCATAGCAATATCAATAAGTTGTTCAATACAAAAGAGATATGTGCCCATAAGAACACTCTGTGGCATAGTTCTCTCCTATATGGTCTTATCAACATGATGCAACTAGTCAATCAACGTGAGTATCAACATCATGGAGAGAGTGGTTGGTGCTGCAGATCCAACTTCAGCTAGCTCTACTCGGAAGGTGATGCATTCAAGGAATGACACACTGATCTTTTCCAAGAAAGGCCAGCTAGATAAGGTCACTATCAAGAGAGAAGAACATGTATAGGAAATATTAGTAGAATTATGTACAATGTGTACTTCTTTTGTAAAATAAAAGTTAAAAAGATTTTTTTAAAGCAAGAAAGTAGAACCATTGTCTAAACAAGCAAAATCGAACCATATCAATGTTGTTGTCCCTGACAGCAGTAAGCAGAACACTGTTCTTAGAGTCAAGAACCTTTCCTTCATAGCAATAAAAAAGAACCTTATAACTAGCATCACAAAGTTGATTGATGGAGATAAGATTGCTTTTTCGACCCTTGACATAGAACACATCCTTCAGCTTGAACGCCTTGCATTCAAAGTTCCAACTCCCATGATAGCTTCTTCATTGTTGTCACCAAAGACCACCATACGACCGTCTTTCTTCACAAAATCTGATAAGAGGGACTTGAGATCGGTTGTAACATCTAAAATTTCCAGGTATTCATTTTTTACCCTTGGTTTGTGATTGGTTTGCAAAATTGGTCCCTAATGGCATTTTCATAAAATTTGGGCGCATCATGTGTACGCTGGGCATACCTGGCCCCCGTGCATGTACGTTGGGCGTACGTTGGTACATAGGGCGTACACAATATTTGACCAAACCCTAATATTTAGGGTTTGTGCACTATTTAAGCACCATTATAGCCCCAAAACCTTTCTTCTTATCAGCTCCACTCCTAGAATCGACCTACCTTGCTAAACCTAACTTATTTTGAATATTGTGATCTTTTGAGTGAGTTGTGAGCTTTCTTGCTTGTGAAGGAGGATCATCAAGGAGCTGAATTTGCTCTCAAGACTGTGGATCCAACACTTTCTCCCATTTGTGCACCATTTGGAGGTATAAAGCTCAAAACTTGGCTTATGTTTCTTTAGATCTTAGTTAAGCCTTGATTTTCATCCTTTTTGTCCCAAAACCAAGAGCTTTGTCACGTGATTGCTTACGCTTTGATGTTTAGGAACCGTTCTTATGCAGAGGGGTCACGTGATTGCTTACGCTTCGAGACAGCTGAAGCCTCATGAGGCGAACTACCCTACGATTTAGAGTTAGGGGCCGTATGTAACGCCCTGTCCAGAATCGTTTCCCATTTGGGTGTGGGTGACATAATTTAGATGATTCAGGTATTCAGTTTGTGTTTTGGAGCCAAAGGGTATTTTGGTAAAGTGTCGGCTCAGACTTTTATGGAAATTGGATTTTTGTTCGGGAAATTTTAAGGCGTATGAGTTGATAAAAGCGTAGAGCTTCTCGTTACCTTTTCATGAATATAAGGATCGTCGAAATCGGATTTATAATGAAGAAGTTATGACATTCGGAGTATTTTAGGGTTTAAGGGTAACCCTAGTACATAGGGCGTACATAGGAAGTACGCGGGGCGTACTAGTGAAAAGTGAAGTACGTGGGGTGTACATTGGCGTACGCTTAGCATACCAAGAGGGAATGATTGCAAGGCCGAGGCCTCGTACGCTGGGCGTACAAGGAGTTTAAGAAACCCTAATTTAAGTGTGTTGTACCCTATTTAAGGACCTTAAGTCCCTAGGACTGGCCTCTTTACCAGCCCCCAAACCTCCTAAAACCCTAAATCGACCCCTTAAGCCTTCTTTTGTGGTGTTCTTGAGCTCTTGAGAAGATTTTGGTGGTTATTTTGCCCTTTGTAAATGAAGTAAAGAAGATTGAAGGTGCTTTGCTTGGGGAGGAGTCTATAGATCCAAAATCATCACCCTTTTTGCAAGTCTTTGGAGGTATCAAGTTCATACCTTGGCTTGTAAATGTTTAGATCTCTTTATGGCTTGATTTGTTATGCTTTTGGTCCCTTTTTGGGTTAGTGGACGTGTTAAGTCGTTTGAAGGACTTATTCTTTTAGATCTGAGCTTATTAGGAGTTCCTTAAGCATAAAGGTGCCAACTTTATGGAGCGTTGGGTCTCATGCATGCATTAAGTCATCTATTAAGTCTTTTTTAAGCTTAAGAGCTTCATTTAGCCATACATGAACGTAAAGTTAGCAACTTTACGTGATAATCCACCCCAAAGAAGTCAGGTCTACGTTTTGGAGCAATGTCTAAGTGGATTATGGGTAAAAATCGAGTTTTGGTTGAATGGGTGAGTGCGCTGGGCGTACAAGCAGGTACGCTTAGCGTCAAGCCCTCAAGCGAGTACGGTGCACGTACGTGATGGGTCTGCCCCGCGTACTCAGTCTGATGGGCTTCGGGTTTAGGCCATTCTTTTGGGCCTAGATGCTTGAGGTTTTGTTGGGTCAACTGAATGCAAGTGTTTTGGACTAGGGAAAATTGGTGGGCCTTGGGGTAAGGCCCATGTAGCCCAATTTAGAAAATTGGGCAATCTATGGGCCTTGGATAATTATTTGGTGTTGGGCCTTTCAGATTGTAGGGTTGGGCCTTAGTCTTGGACCAAACTAGGTAAGGTGTAAAATGGTCTTTTTACCCTGAGTATGGATTGATAGTTATATATTGGAATCCAATTGTTAATTGGGTGTTATTTGGTATCGATAGCTTGGGGATTTGTCGGATCAGCAGCCAGGGATATTCAGTGTGATTCAGCAGTGCGAGGTGAGCAGACGGTTGCACTGGCAGATAGCGTATAACGTGTTTGACTAATCAGATCATAATGTATGACCTTACATTATAACACTGGTTACAAGAGTTAAGTCAAGTTACATGCCTCATGTTTCAAGTCTTAAAGGTCGATTCTATTCTTTAAAATTCTTAAGCTTCAATCTAATCTTTCAAATAGAAATATTTGCTTAATTATAGTTATTTAATTTATTTTGAAAACTAATTTATTTAATGAAATTTATGGATGTTACAACTAAAATTCCTAAGACCCTTTCAGTATACAGTGTACCGCACATTGCGATATATGATGTGGCACCGTGGTGTGCGGTAAACACCGCACCGACCCCCACACAAAAAATACGGTATCTTTCGCACGTTATCATTTCACATCAGGGGAAAAATAAACCTACCCCTCAAAGATAGTATTTTATGCATAAAAATGTGTAATGTGGTGAATGTGGTAACGTAAGATATGACACCCATCAGTTTTATGAGATGAGAAGAAAACGACATGACATACCAAATGTGTGGTAAGGTGAGTGACCACACCCACCAGCCTAAAAAAATAGTAATTTCACTACATCCTCGTTTTATTGCATTATTATTAGTTTTATTTATTTTTTAAAATAATTTTTATGTTCTAATTCTTACATTTCCACACCATCATAACTGTGGATACTATTTAAATTGCACACACAGTTACAACATATCTAGTGTATGTTTGTTGACCACTATGTTCGGGTCATAATTTCTCGGATGACTATTTGTCGGATATCCTGTGTAATTTTAGGATCGACATGCGCAATTGGATATTTAACGAACAAGAAAAAAAAATATAACAAACTTAAAAGCATATATGTTTTTTTTTTCGGTTATTTTTGTGATTAGTCCTAAAATTTAATAAATAAATAGTAGTAAATCAAATTTCTTTTACAAATTTTGTTAAGATCGCATAAACTATAGTTGCAAGATATATATTGGGAAGTTGCAAAAGTCACCCTTTGCTTTTGTTGTTTCCAGTCTATGTCTCAAGCAAAGCAAAGCGACTGATACGGAACCAAAAGCAGCGTGGATCCTCATCCTCCCGTCCTCGTTGGCAAGCCAAAGCCTTTTTCTCTCTTCTTCTTGGCTCAATCTTGACTCCGTAGTCCGTTTCCTTCTACTTCATCGCCGTCGTATACCGCCGGAGATATCAATTAAATCACATAGACGCCCACAGCCACACAGCAACGTAGGATCGTCGTTCTCATTCATCGCTCCCTGAAAATTCACGGAGATGGCGATGACAGTTGAAGGTGAGCCACTTCTAATTTTCAGTTGCAGTTACCTTCTTCATCCAATTGTATTGTTCGTTTTTTGTTAATTTAAACCTAGAAGATGATGATGATGTTATTTAGAAGCCGTGTGGGTAACAGTCGCAATCGAATTTTGGGGCTAATATCCAACTTCAAATTGATATCAGTTTTAACTTCTATTTTTGATCAAAGACGGATCGACACATCAAAGATCATCAAGAAGTACAACAAATAGATATACGTAGGCGTATAATTTGTTATTAAATCCAAAAGTCAATTTTCCTCTCTGGAATGGAAGGCATACAAGCTAGTTATGCATTACTCGTAATGCTATTGGGAGGTTGCTTAGGGTTAACTGAGTACAGATTCTAAGAAGTTAGAGAACATTAAAACAACTCTATGCAAGCTTTACTGGAACTTCGTTTCTATCTGGGTATGCGAGAAGCCAAATAAAGGGCACATAAGACATTAGACATGGATGGTTTGTACTTTGTAGTTGCATTCAATATCTGGGAGTGGTGAAACACTTTCAGGTTTTCAATTCCCAAAGTATTTAAATAGCTGTTTCATTTATGTTTCTTTTTCTCTCAACTTGTTCATAGAGAAAGAATAGTTCCAATCTCGGAAAAAGTGCATCAAAAACCAGTTAGTTTCCTGATAGGTGTTTGTAGCCTTATTCTCACATACTTCTGACACTATACAAAAAAGATTATCTTGTTGTTTATACATTACATCTATTAGTATATATATAATGCAGCAATTTGGTATATGATGGACCTGAGTTAACTCAGTGTCAACTCGTGCATACACCTGACTCGCTCACTATGAGTACTAACCAACTTCTAGTCATTGGATGCTTATACTTAATCAAATTAACTACAATGATCATTACAAAATGGGGAGAGATTGGATACTTGTAGAGAATACTAGCTCTTTCAAGAAAATTATATAAAATGCTGGTCTTCATTTTTCAATCACTATTGACTTTCCCATTACTGCTTTTAGAAATTTATTTAAATGTTGGAAGCTAACTTTTTTTTTTTTTTTTTTTTTTTGGTACTATGTGATATGAATACAATAAAGTAACAATGAATAAGGATGTGTTTAGCAGGAGTAATGTATGCCATTTTCAACACAACATATCTGTAGTATATATAAAATAAGAAAATACTTATGGACACAAATATACAGCATCCTCACATAAAGCAAATGGATCTGATAAAGTTGATTTGCTTTATCCTTTTTTTTATAGAAATTAATCTCTTCATTTCAGTCATCTTTTACTATGCCTGATTTGACTTTTCTCCCTTTTTTTGCATGTGTGCTATTGCTCTCGTGGATCATTACCTAACTCTACAGTGTAAGCTCTTAATCTTATATATATATATATATATATATATATATATATATATATATATATATATATATATACTTAAGTACATTGCTATTTCTTGCATTTAATGTTTGACAGAGATCTCTAACACCACATTCCTTTTCAGGCTTGCTGGACTTGCCCTTATGTTTTCATCTAGTTTCCTTCTACAAGTTCTGGTAGGGTTAATGGTTTTTGGTGTCTTCATATATCACTTATAAATTGTATAAAATAATATATTGGTGTAATAAAACATCTGGTTTAAAATATAATCTATCTGGTTGCAGGCTTGTGCAATATACAGCAACTGGTGGCCAATGTTATCAGGTATTTAACATTTTTGCATATTAGTTTTTTGCAATTTAGAAAAATTAATGTGGAACTAAATTATCATTTTGCAGCACTTATGTATGTTTTGGTCCCTATGCCATGCATGTTCTTTGGTGGCGGGTCCACTGAATATTTACTCACACGGGATGGTGGCGGGTAACTATTTCTCTTCTCAAATATTGCTAAAAATAGCAACCAACTTTCATTGATTTGTTTATTTTAGAATCATACTTTTTTTTTTTAATAAACAAATAAATGAAATATATGTTCCTATTTGTTTAAGTTGATAAGTTGTGAGATGGCATGTATGACAGGTGGATAGATGCTGCAAAATTCCTAACAGGGGCATCAACAGTGGGGAGTTTAGCCATCCCAATAATCCTAAGGCATGCACATCTGATAAGCACTGGAGCAATGTTGATTGAATTCATGTCTTTTTTTATATTTGTGTGTACTGTTATGTGCTTTCATCGTGCAAGTCTTGAAGATGAATGGTGATACACAAGTCAACACCTATCAAGGTCAACAAATTGCTAAAAAAATTAAAAATATGTAAATCTTGAAAAAAGTGTGGCTTAATTTTGTTTCTACTTACATTTGTGTTGAAAATTGAAATAACTAGTCTTTTATTATGTTGGGGCTTGGAGAAGTAAAATGCTATAAAAACAAAAGAGAAAACTACAAAAATGGTCCATGTGGTTTGTTGCTTGCTTTGTATGATGTTCTAAAAAGTTTTCAACTTCCAAATGTAGTTAGGGTTTGGTTTGGTTGTGGTTCTCAACTTGCCAATGCCTCCATTTTGGTATTTTCAGTTAATTACTATTATTATTTATCAGTATATTTTCATTATTATTACCGGTTATTAGTTATTGCAAAGTGCACAAACCCCCTCAAATTTCTTCCTCACAAACCTAAATAAAGAAACTCGTCAAAGGATGGAGGTTTGTAGGATACGTTTGGTCCATTAATATTTAGGATGTTTGATAGTTGTTGATTGAGTTAGATTTGAATTAATTAAACTTGGTTTTTAGCTTTTGAGTTTGCCTCAGAATTACACTTGGTTTTTTGATTATGCATTCGACTGATTGTACTAATTGCTGAAAATCACCATATTACCCTTATGGTCTATCTTGTGTAGAGATAAAATACATCTACTTGATATAATAAATATGATGGTAAATATAAAACAAATATTACAAATTCGTAAAAGAATCAATAAATGGGTAATACAGTCATTTGAATATGAACCAAAATGACTATAATTGCAAAAAAACCAAGTCATTTGAATATGAACCAAAATGACTATAATTGCAAAAAAACCAACTCATTGAACTAGTTTTCTAATTTACTTGTTTGTTTATACCAAAATGGCTATAATTGCAAAAAACAACTAATAGAACTAGTTTTCTAATTTACTTGTTTGTTTATATTGCCAAAATTTTAAGATTGTTATTTCTATATCTTTACATGGTGTTTGTTAAATCAATGATTTACATAAATACATCTATAAATGATATGATTCATTAAAGTGGAACAAAAGTATGAGAACATCTAAACATTTGAACAAGTTCCTGATAATATATATATCCGCTAACATCTACCCCCCCCCCCCCTCCTCACCACAGTTTGATCGGGAGGATAATTCCGAACATTCAAACTGGTGTTGAGTGGAAGAAGGCGCGTGAAAAGCTCTAACTGCGTTACGGGCTACTAGATCACAAACAAAATGAATATCAATCTCGATGAGTTTTGTTCGCTGGTATTGAACTGGGTTCGATATCATGTAAACCGAACTGATATTGTCACAATAGACAATAAAATCTTTTGTAGGCGGACATCGAAGCTCTCGAAGTAAATTACGAACCTAACATGTCTCTGTAACAACGTTGGTGATGATGCAATACTCCGCCTCTACATTGGACCGATAAATGACCCATTGACGTTTGAATGAACATGATATAAGATTATCACCAAGAAACACACAATATCATGATGTGGAGCGTCGAGATACTGGGCACCCGCCCCAGTCGACGTCTGAGTAGGCACGAAGGTCAGACGACGAAGAAACATGAAGTTGAAGACTGTGGTACAGGTTACCTCTGATATAGTGCAAAATATGTTTGAGAGTAGGCATGTGAGGCTCCCGTGGGTGATGCATGAATAAGCAGATCTGATGAACTGCAAAGGCAATGTCCGGTCGAGTAAAAGTAAGGTACATAGAGCACCATCCAGGATGTGAAACAGAGAGGGGTCAACAATAGTAAGTAGCATCCAACTTATGTGTAGTTTCTGCCAGTGTACGTATGGGATTACACTGACATATATGAGCCCTGTCAAGAATATCAGATGCATATTTTACTGGGATAGAAAGAGACACTGAGACGACTGAGTAACAGAAATACCAAGAAAATAATTGAGAGCTCCAAGATCAGTCATGGCAAACTCTCGTCTGAGGTGAGAGATGATGGACTCAAGTAGAGACATAGATGACACAGTCAACACAATGTCATCAATGTGTAGTAATAAGTTGGTAGTATCGGCTCCATGATGGTAGATAAATATAGAGGCATCCGTGAGACTGTGATGAAAGCTCATTCGTAGGGCATGTTGAGCGAACTGTTGATACCAGGCTCACGGAGCCTGTTTAAGGCCGTATAAGGATCGTTGAAGGTGGCATACATAATATGGATGCCGAGGGTCTCGGAATCTTGAGGCTGATACATGTAAAATTTCTCGTGAAGATGGTCATGAAGAAATGCATTCTTCACATCAAGCTGATGAATGGTCCAGTGCCTAGAGATAGATAGGCTGGGAACAGTGCATATAGTTGTTGGTTTCACAACCAGGCTAAAAGTCTCATCACAATCGATCCCCTGTTGTTGAATGAGATCGTTTGCTACTAATCACGCTTTATAGCGAGATAAAGAACCATTGACATTAAACTCATGTTTGAATAACCACATAGAACGAACCAAAATGGCTCTCGATGGATGTGGCACAAGGACCCAAGTACCCTTTGTATCCCTTGCATTATATTCCTCGTTCATGGCTTTATGCCAGTTTGGATCTTTCAAAGCCTCTGTGTGTGACCTTGGGACAGAGGATCGAGGTATAGAATAGAGATTGAAGCGGTCAATGGGTTTCACAATGCCACTTCTAGATCTGGTGTGCATATGGTAAGTAAGAGAAGGAGGGGGACCTTGTAAGTGGAAGGTGGAGGGGTTAGAGGCGGAGGAGTAGGTCTAACCTCGGGATGATGGGGAGAAGTAGGGGTATTAGTGGTGGTGGGGATGGGTGACACAATGGTAGTGGGAGGACGATGTAATATCTGATGAAGATTTGGTGAGATATCAGAGTCGAACGGGAAATCATAAGGAGGGTTGTTGGGAGCATCCTAGCCGTACGGGAAAAATGGAATCGTCAAATGTGACATGACGAGAGAGAATGATCTTCCGAGAGGAGAGATCAAAGAAGCGGAAACCACGTTGGAGTGTGGGGTAGTCAAGGAAAATGTAAGGAGTGGAGCGAGGTTGGAATTTATGAGTAGTGTAAAGGCGAGGGTGCCTAACCTACCCTTGTCAGACATACCGGGGTGTCCGACCTACCCCTCCGGTTTATCTCAACCGGTTATGGGGACTATTTCATCCCTGACTACTACCACATAATAACATCACATAATCATACTGTCAAGCATACCAGGGTGCCCGACCCTACCCCTTCGGTCCTTACAACCATAACATGGGGACTATTCCCCTACTACCACTATCACCTAACATCATATCATGATAACATATAAAACATATCAGATAGTGGCAAACCCAGGTAATTATCACAAAGACAACTACCTGACAAACAATCCCTACTAGTGGGCCGACATTGTGGCCGTAGACCTACTTCTACTGGAAGGTACCCACCTCAATGTCGTGCAGAAATGAACTGTCCTTGGTGCTGGAATCGAATCCTCTCAAACTCCTACATGTAACAACCTTCCTTAATTACCATTTCATACTCATAACCCCTTTCAAGGATCAACTCAGGTCAAAGTCAAAGTCAAGGTCAACGCCCTGGTCAAAGTCAACATCCTGGTTGACTCAACTCGCCGAGTTGATCCATCAACTCGTCGAGTTCCATAATTCAGAGAAAATCGAATTCTCGATCAGACTCGTCGAGTTACCTTCTAACTCGCCGACTTTCTCCTTATGACATAATCAGGACTTTCCACTTGAACTCGTTGAGTACTTCCTTGGACTCGTCGAGTTCTCCTTCATACAGATCAGAACATTTGCTCATTGACTCGCCGAGTTCATCCTTGAACTCGTCGAGTCCTACTTCATACCAGTTGGGACATTGTCTTGAACTCACCGAGTTCATCCGGGAACTCGTCGAGTTCTTGATCTTCAAGTCCATATTCACGTCCATCTTGTTGAGTCCTCTTCTAGACTCAATCAAATTGCTCAGAACAGAAAAGGTTGGGGAACCATGACCCGACTCGTCGAGTCCTATGAACGAATCGTCGAGTCCCCCAAAGTCCATGTCCATATAGTTGATTTTAGTCGGGCTTATTGCATCTAAAGCATAGATCTGGCCTCCTAGGGTCGATATAACATGTAAAGTTACAAACTTTACGTGCATGCATGGGTGTTATGAAGCTAAAACACCAAAACTAAGCCATAAAGGAGTCCTAATGCATGAGATAGGGCCATAGCTCAATAAAGGTGGCAGCTTTGAGCTTCCTGAGCCCAAAAGTTCCCAGATCTGAATTCATTACTCTATTATGCACTCAAATCTCGAGAGTGACTTAGAAATGGCCCAAAAATGACAAGATACAAGCCCTAAATAAGATCTAAGTGATGGAAAGCCAAGGTTGAAGCTTTTTTACCTCAAACAAACTAGAAATGCAACTAAAACTCTAGATCTACTGCCTTCTTCTTGAATCTCCAAGCCTTTCCTTCCTTCTCCAAGCTTCAAATCACTAAAATGGCATAAAATAGCTCAATAACACTCACAAACTGATTAGGGTTTCGAGAATAGGGTCTGAGGGTGATGGAGGCTGGAGTGGAGGCCATATAAGGTGTTTAAATAGGGTGCAAACCCTAAAATTTAGGGTTTTATTCAGACAGATCTACTCGTCGAGTCGGGGCTTTTGACTCGTCGAGTAGACTCTTCCACCCGCGTCCAAGATTCGCCCCCTACTTGACGAGTTTGGGGCCTCAAATCGTCGAGTCCCAGTATAAAAATGCAAAAACTCATATTTAAATTACGTACCGGGAACCGGGCGTTACATAATCTAAATAGTAAACCGTAAATACCGTAACTAGTAGCCTGTAGATATAAAGAACACTTAAATATGACTTCGTATGAGGAGGTTATGATTTTTCAAAGTTTTGCGTTCGACAGAATACAATGTGTGTGTCATAAAAAGTATGACAGAGATCGCTTGCTCGTTAGACAAAATATTCTAAATGAAAGTTTAGTACTATTCGATACGAAATCGACAATATAAAGAAAGTCGAAAACGGAGCTCATATGCAGAAGTTATGGATTTCGTAGCGTCTTTCTTAGTGTAATCTGTACAAAATTGTAAATTTAAAATAGTATGATAATTAGCCAACGAAGTCTAAATGAAAGTAGTATTACTCGTCGATACGAAAGTGAGAATATAAAGAACGTCAAAAATGGAGCTCGTATG